GGGACAGCCCAGCGGCCCCGCAGCTGTCCCGCTGCTGGCGTCCTCAGAGGCTTTGCTCCCCATCTCCCTGGTCTGCTAGTCTCCAGCAGACCAGGGAGACGCAGAGCAAACCCCGTTCGTAACTGCGGATCCGACATAAGTCGGATCCGCGTAACTCGGGGACTGCCTGTATACAAGAACTCATTTTCTAGGGCTCCATTTTTGTAGGCATAATGAATTCTTCACTGCACTTAATTGCAAAGAAAAAGAACAAACTCGAGTTGCATACTGTTGGTGCAAAATGTGCCACAAAAAGAGAGCACTGTTTGACACCTCAGGCACTTTTTTATTTATATCTATTCAGCTGTTTTGATTTTAATCTATATGGAATTCCATAGAGCCACAACACTTGATATGCATTTAAATACACCATGGGAGTTACAAACATAAATCATTCAAAGCAGTAGCACTTGTTTTACTCCTTCACTCTCCATCCTAACACACCTCATATAATCATCAGACAACAGAACACAGCTGCTTAAGAAAGCTACATAACACTTCTTTCAGTAATGTACAAATCTTTTAAGCTGTAGTGATCAACACTCATGAACGCCTGGGCCACAAGGAACACTATTATCTGTTAGTATGAATAAAATTTACATTGCATGGCTAAGAGATGCCATTTTATAAACCTATATCGAAACATTCATTGAGTGGGAGTCTTTCCAGCATTTTTTACAACTTATTTATTTACAACATATGTATTTTTAAAAGGAGGCTTTGCTCTGAGGGGTAGAGAAGAAATGCACGTATACTACAGCTGTAGATAGAAGATGGAATAAAAACATCCATGACAGGAATATCAGATCAAAAGATCTAGTATTCCCTACCTGCAGCCTTGCTTTGCTGTACCATCCTTAGCTGATAAAACATTTAATAGAATATAAATTCTGTATTACTTGAATTATAATACAATAATATATATATTCTCTCATTAGATTTATCTCGAGATACAATCATATCTACTTCCACTTCTATAGCACTTCCCATCTCAGGAGCTCAAAGAGGTTTGCCAGGAGTGGATATTCAAATTCACAATGTCCTGGAGTAAGATATTATGATCCCTATTTTAGAGATGGTGAATGGAAGCACTTGATTAGTTAAATGATTTTCCCAAAGTCTTACAGGAATGTATGGCAAAGCTAGAGAATCTGTCTTCTATTACAAATGAAAGCCCTCAAATAGATGTCTTACATTTAAAAATATAGTCAATTAATCAATGGAGTCCTACCCTGCTTCTACTGGAAGTTAAATGCAATGCTCCTACTGACTTTCATGGGAACCAGATGGGGTATAGGGAAGTGATTCATACAGTCCAATTTACAATTCAGCAGCTAAGGGAAAAAACCCAACTATTTAGCTTTGAACTGCTATTTGAGAATAAGTAAAATTCTCACTAAGCAGGATTTCCATGTTGACACAATAATTACCTCAGCAAATAAACTCCATTTTAAATAATTTAAAATATTTCAGTTGTTTCAAGTTTTTTAGTTACAGTAGGGCACAATTACAGCTTCATCTCAAAACTGCTTAGATAGCATTAGCTGAGGCAGCTCAGGCGGGCATTTGGATGGCCTTTTGGTTCAACAAAAAGGTAAACCCTTAACATCAAAAGAGACATATTTTAGCTCATTTCATATTTGCAAACTACATGAATAAATAGGCAATATGTTATTTGTAAATATTTCTATATGGATACAGGAGAAAGAAATTAAGTAAGAGTCAAACACCAATCAGATTCTCCTATGCACTGAAATGCTTACTGCTACAGAGGCAGAAAGAATACTGTAGGAAGGCTGAATTATTTTAATATGCCAAGATTTTTTCATGTCAGGGTAGTAAATTTGAGTTCTTCCTGGCTGAATAAGTATAAATAAATAGTACACATCCCATTGAGCCCTGGAGGGAAGGCCCTAATCAGGCCTTTTAAGAGTCCTACTCTAGCTGGATGAATACAGACTGACCAGCCTTCCACCAGATAAGAAGGGGGGGATAAGGGGACAGAAGAAAGCCCCAAGCCTTGCTGCATGATCTGGCTCGCAGGAAGAAGCGAAGCCAGAAGCTGCTCCACGCAGTGCCACTCCTCTTCCCTTTCCCCCATGTGGGGGAACAGCAATGCACGGACATGCTGCCTGGAGGCTTTCCCCACTGCTCCTATGAGCCGGAATACAGCCCATAGCAGCAAGAGGTCATGCCTGAGACACTGATGCCTTGGAGAGGCGTGGGGTGTGAAGGAAAGTGCCCCCCTTCACCTCATGCCCAGATTTTGCACAGTCTGGCCAGAAACCCTACCCTCACTCTGCTCCTGCATACTCCCCCCTGGCCAGACACCCTACTCCCATCGTGCTCCTGCACCCACCCTTACTCCTGCACCCTCCTTCCTTGCCACACACTGCCCCCTCCCTCTGGCCAGATACCCTCCCAGCCTGTCCTGCAGCTTACTTCCCATCCAGACCTCACACCCTCATCCCCTCCTGCACCCCATGTCCCACCCAGATCCTTCACCCCCATACCTATCCCACTCGCTGGCAGCCCTGTTTTGCATACTGAACCCCTCATTTTTGATACCGCCTCAGAGCCTGGAGGGGGGGGGTCCACAAAATCCGTGGAAGCTCAGAAGGGTAAATCTGTCCTATAGGAAGCCCTGAACCTCAGTCCTCCCTATACCTTCCCTTCCCTTCCCCCAGTGAGGCTAGAGTGCCAGAGGAGTGAGGTATCTCAGTTGGGGGGCACATCAGTGAGAGTTGGGGTTTTTTGGAGGGGTTTTTTGCTTCTCACTTGTGTAGTCCCCAACTGAATTTTCTGTGGGTCGGAACCTTTTGTGTTGGACATAAATTAATGTTACTTTATTTAAAATGAAGTTGGATAAACTAACATGAGAAAGTTAAAGTGCTTAATCTGTTTAATAATTTAAATTAATATTTCCTTTCTTAGGGTATGTCTACACTACCCTCCTATTTCAAAGTAGGAGGGTAATGTAGGCATACCGCACTTGCAAATGAAGCCCGGGATTTGAATTTCCCGGGCTTCATTTGCATAAGACGGGCACCGCCATTTTTAAATCCTGGCTAGTTCGAACCCCGTGCTGGCTACACGCGGCACGGAGTAGCTAGTTCGGATTAGGCTTCCTAATCCGAACTAGCTGTACTCCTCATTCCACGAGGAATGAACTAGCCGGGATTTAAAAATGGCGGCGCCCGGCTTATGCAAATGAAGCCCGGGAAATTCAAATCCCGGGCTTCATTTGCAAGTGCGGTATGCCTACATTACCCACCTACTTCGAAATAGGAGGGTAGTGTAGACATACCCTTACTGGTTAAATGAAACCATTATCCCTAGATGCAGCACTAGGAAAATGGTTCCGGGTAATTATGTAATTAATAACGAGTTTCCATTAACAACTTGTGGTCCGCAGAAAGGTTTGCATTGAGCGAGGTGGACCATCAGACAAAAAGTTTGAGGATCGCTGGTCTAGAACAACTGGAACGCTCACAGTTTCGGGGGGATGTTGGCACAACTGTGTCCAGGCTAGAAAACATCTCGATTTGGCCCACAAACAGATTCTAGTTGACTCTTTTCTACTCAGGTTAAGGATCACCTATTAAAGAGGGAACTCTATACAATAGTCCAGAGGATAGAAAAGAAGTTGGTAAAGTATAGGAAGGAGCTAGTGAGAAACAATCAAACTATACTCTAGGTGACAAATCGGAGGACCTGCCTCAGATTGAGGTGGCACTAGAGAAGGTTTTGGCACAAATAGATAAATTAGACAATAGCAAGTCACCAGGGTCAGATGGGATTCACCAAGATATCTGAAGGAAGTCAAATATTATATTGCAGAAGTATTAACTGCAACTTAATTAGGTATGTAACCTATTGCTTAAATCAATCTCTGTACCAGATCACTGGAGAGTAGCTAAGATAATGCCAATTTTTAAAAAGGTTTCAGAGGCAATCCTAGCAATTACAAGCCAATAAGCCTTTGTTAAGTACCAGAGTATTATGGGTTCAAAGGGATTACTAGATCCCTTCAGAGACAGCACAGTAGGTAGTCAAAGAGGGGCTGTGAGGAGTAGCCAATCAGGGCCCAGCTGGCCCATATAAGAAGGATGGCAGAACAGAGCAGATTTAGTCATACCCTGGAGCTTGAAGAGGGAGAAGGACTGTCTGCTTGCACAGAGAGGGCAGCAAGCACCCTGGACAGAGCACTGTTGCAGGCAGATACCCAGGGAGGTAAAGGCAGCTCCTAGCAGGCTGCAGGGATCTGCAGGCTGAAGCCCTAAGGCAAGGGCAAAGAGGATGCTGAGGCCGCCAGGAAGTGGCCCAGTGAGGTCTACAAAGGGGATGCAGCAAGTGGCAGCCATCTACAGGGTTTGGACCAGGACCTGGAGTATGGATGGACCTAAGTCCCCTACCCCCACCCCAATCACCACTGAGGAAGTGGCTGGTCTGAGGAACTGTGATACTGTCCCCTGGAAAGGGGGAACACTGAGTATGGCACAGCCAGAGGGTTGTGTCATGAAGACTCCATGGTCCTTTGAGTGAAGCAAGTCTCTGGAGAAGAACTGATAGTGGCAAGACATCACCAGAAGAGGGCACATTGGCAGACAGAGGTAATTCCCAGGACAGCCATTAGGAGGTGTCACAATGGGGAGTCGAAGTCTGTCAAACAGGAAAACTGGTTAAAACTATAGAGGTGCATCTACACTGCACCCTTACCTTGAAACAAGCTACGCGATTTGCACTATGCAATTGCACAGCTTATTTTGAGGTAATTTTGAAATGGCTTATTTTGAAATTTGGCGCTGTCTAATTGTCTGAAATGTCCCTTAGCCCTCATGGAACAAGGCTTACAGGGACGCCGAAATAGCATGCCCGTTATTTCAAAATCCATTTAGAAATAATGGGCTGCTTTAAAGCTATTACGGTATCCTGAAATAGCTGTGCAGTGTAGATGTAGCTTAGAAGAGAAGAGAATTAGCAGACACATAGATGGACACAATATGTTGAGGAAGCACCCATATGGCTTTTGTAAATGGAAATCATGTCTGACCAACCTTTTATAATTCTTTGAAGGAGTCAACCCCCATATAGACATAGATATATTCAATGGAAACAGTATACTTGGAGAAGGTCCCTCACCAAAGACTCTTTGGCAAAATAAATAGTCATGGGATAGAAAGGAAGGTCCTCTCCTGGATCAGTAGCTGGTTAAAAGATTAGAAACAAAGACCAGGAATAAATAGTTTTCACAGTAGAGAGATGTAAATAGTGGGTCCACCAAAGATCTGTACTAGGATTACTGCTATTCAATATATTCATAAATGATCTAGGAAAAGTCGTAAACAGTGAGGAGGTAAAGTTTGCAAAGGACACAAAATCACAGAAGATAGGAAACTCTTTAAAGGCAGTGACTGGCAACAAAATGGCAGATGAAATTTATGATCAAAAAGTGCAAAGTAATGCCCTGGGAAAACATAAATCCTACTATACATACAAAATGATGGGATCTAAATTAGTTACAACTCAAAAGAGACACACACCTTGGTGTCATCACAGAATTCTTTGAAAATTGATTCAGTATGCAGTGGCAGTCAAACGTGCTAACAGAATACCAGGAACCATTAGGAAAGGAAAGGCAGAAAATATCTTCATGTCACTATATAAATTCATGGCATACCAATGCCTTTAATGCTGCATGAAGTTTTGGAGTGCCCCATCTCAAGAGAGACATTATTAGAAGTAGAAAAGGTACTAATAAGAGCAACAAAAATTATTAGGGGTATTTCATACAAGAAGAAATTCAAAAGACTGGAGTGTTCCATCTAGAAAAGAGATGATAATCACAGAACACAAGAATTACTGAATCACTCACTGAAATTAATAGGCTGCGAGTGTCAAACAAACAAAAGGAAATTCTTCATACTCATGGAACTTGTTGCGAGGGCACATTGTGAAGGCCAAAAGTATAAACTGAGTTTAAAAAAGAATTAGATAAATTCACAGACAATAGGGCCATTAATGGCTATTAGCCAAAATGATCATCGATGTAACACCATGTTTGGGGTATCCCTCAATCTCCATCTGTCAGAATCTGGGAACAGACAATACTCAAAATTGCCCTGTTCTGGTCATTCTAGAGCTGGCCATGGTCAGAAGACAGAATAGTGGATTAGATGGGCCATTGTTCTGTTCATATTTATGCCAATTTTGAAAATTCAAATGAAAAGCTTGAAACTTGGGTTATCGCATAAAATAAAATGGATGTGGAAAATGTGCATTTTATTCATAACTGCGAAATTCAAACATTTCTGTGAAGCTTTTTTTTTTTTTTTTTTTTTTAAACTCTCAAGAAATATTCACTACTGGGATAACACCAATAAAAATGTGTTTCAAGAGGAAATTTTTTTCACAAAGTTACCAGTAATGAAGAGAGGAGTTTAAGAAAGAATTCCCTTCTAAGTGTTATTTATTGTATACACACACACCTATAAAAATGTACAAGTGTGTTAAAAATTGAAAGTATCACCTGTCTGCCACGATGGAGCTCTGAACTGTGGTAAAAGGGTAGCTCCTGAAGCAGCTTGAGCAGTGCGAGATTCAATTGCAGAGAGAAAGTTCATAACTGACGTTTCTTTAGTGTTACTTCCAGTACTATGTATACTGGTATCAAATATTCCAGAAAGACCTCGGGGGAAAAAAAAAACAAATATACAAATCACAATGAATTCCTATTACAAATTTAAGAGCAAACCACAGTCAGAGTTATCATGCTACTCAAAGAATACAAAGCCTTTCACACTTTCAGAAAACATTTGTGTTTGAAATGTTAACACTTGCTGTTTAAAAATTATAAATATATTTGCTCAAAATTTTAATGTACTAAGGGGTTGCATTTGTGAATTCAAATTTGTTAGTCATATATTAAAATTCCATGCTATAACTTAATCGGTGTTAGCAGGAATCAAAGTTATCAGTTTTAAGTTTGGTATGCATTTCCCCTGTCCTCCAGGTTTTATTCTACAGTTATTTTTGAGAAGGTCTTCTTTCATATGCAACACAAGTTGATATCTAGATGGCAGAACACAGGGTCACATTTTTATGAAGTGATGAACCATTAGGTTACATCATTTATTTATAAGCCATTCACTATTATCACATTTTAAAGCTATATTTTTAGCAAGCTTTTAATACAACGCATTAGTAAGAGCAACTGTGCATTCAAACTTCCATGAATTAGATTTCTGAGTATCTGGCGCAATTTCAGCAGCACGCTTTGGAGACCAACTGAATATTTTATTCTTATGTGCAGAAGAGTTTATAGTTAGATACTTATTGGACATACAGTCATTAAAAATTTGATGCTCAGTATCAAAGAAAATCCTCAGGATATTTTAAAAACCTCATAGAACTGGTTAACCAGATTATGAAGCACTGCACTTGCTAGTTACCTTCCTCATTGTGCACTCATAACAAACCCATGGTATAAAGCTATCAGAAAATTGCTGAAATAATAAATTCACTCTTGAAATAGCTTTTGCTACACCCTGATTTGCTCTTTTGCTCCTTAGGACCATATAATTAATCAGCTTAAAGATGCAATATTTAACACAGCAATTATTTAAATAGAGTTTCCAGACAATAGACAGTTACCAGTAGGATGGTGGGTGGTAGCATATCCTGGAAGCTGATGAGAAGCTGCATATGTTTGTCTGTGAAGAAGATCGGTTTCTGAGTGTGATGCATGTCCTCCTCCATAGCTTAAGCTAAAGGAAGAAATTAAATGTGGGAAACAAAGCACACAACCAAAGAAACAAATAGATGAAACTCTGACAAGAAGCCAAAAAGTTGTAGAAAGAAAAAAACACCATCAAGGTTTGTCGTTTGTGGTTAAAAAAGGACTTTACAAAAAGTGTAAAGTAAGTAAAAATTGGTACTAAATGAACCAGCTGGCCAGAAAAAAAAGGGATTTCAAACAAAAAAATTCTGTGTTGCATTAACTGAGGAAAGAAATGCTATTTGCTTAGTTCAGTGATGGGAAGGAGAGTGTGTGCAGTTTTTGCAATTTACTGCTTCATTAACTGCATTTGTGGGCAACTACATATTCATGAGCCATTACACCAGGGGTGGGCAAGAGAGCCTCTGTGGGCCTGATCTGGTCTGCCAAGCAGGTTGATCTGGCCCACAGCTGCCCTGTCGTTCCCCTTCCCCACATCTCAAATGGTCTGGAGGCAGGGGAAGCACATGAAATCACCTGCCCCGCCAGGGTGTGTGGCACTAGAAGGAACTGCCAGCTGTTTAGAACAGTTGGTGGTTCACTGTAGGCACCACGCAGGGGGTGAGAGACTTTGCGCACTCCCATGCCCCCAGGTCCTGATTGGCCTGGAGGCAAGGGGAGCAAGAGAAGTCTCCTCCTGCTGCCAGGGGTGTGTGATGCCTAGAGGGAACTGCCAGCTGTTTAAAACAGCTGGTGGTTCCCTGTAGGCGCTGGGGGAGAGACTTCACGACACACTCCCCCAACTTCAGGCCAATCAGGGTCTATGGGTGCAGAAGCATGGGAAGTGTCCTGGCCCCGCCCCTTCCAGGGCAGCTCAGGGACTCTTAAGAAATTTGTGAAGTGTCCCCACCTTTCAAAAATTATTGCCCACCATCTGCATTACACCCTAATATCTAAATCAGGGCAGGGTAAGATGTGGCCCGTGGGCTGAATCTGACCCATGGACTGCATCTGGCTGCTTTCTATTTCTATCCTGCTGCCCATACCACCAAATTTCCAAGAGATGGCTCAGGCAGCAGGATCCTATTTAAATGGCTCATGGCTCACTGTTGCAGCGCTAATCTGGCAGGGCTGGAGCTAAGAGCCTTTAAATAGCCTCAGCAATCCCGGACAACTGGCAGGCAATGTAGTAGCAGCAGAGCCAGATGCCTCAAGTCCTTTGCTGCTTTTAATTCAAATCCTTCAGCTCCAGACAACTCTGGGAGGAGGCTAGCTCTGCCCTTTCCTCCCCAGGCTCTGCCTCCTCTGGGGAGTGGAGCCAGCACATGACCACATAGAAAAATTCACTGAGCAGTCCCCCTGCAAAAATGATTGGCCTCTGCTGATTTAAACGGTAGATTATGTTTACGTTTTATGATAAAGTTTGAATTATCAGTTTTATTATGTCTACTGCCAACAAAAATGTGTAAGTGATACAAACAGTTAAAATACACTGTGTCTAGATCTTTGACAATATCAATATGGGTTGAACCTTTCTAAATTGCGACTCTCTGGTCCAACAGGACATGGATGTTACTGGATCAGAGTGTTCTGATGAAAGGCAAGCAGCCTTTCATGCTGGGGCCATGATCCCAGCCAGGCTGGTGGCAGAGGGGAGCTGCTGTGAGACTGGTGGCTGGGCCAGAAGCAGAGCCGGGCTAGCAGGCAGTGGCAGGGGGGCCAGAAATTATCTCCCTCGGTCCAGCAAAATCCTTTGTTTGGAACCAATCAGGTCCTGAGGGTGCCGGACCAGGGAGGTCCAACCTGTAATGCCAATGCATAAAGGAAACTGAAAAAAGCAATTTTAATTTCAAGCTCCATTAGAAACACAAGACAAAAATACTAATGTTTGCCAATATGAAAAGCAGATAATTGGTGGGGGAAATATTATTTTCAAGCTTCTAGGTCTCAGTTATGTAGGAAAAACGGGAACACTGGACTTCAGCACATATTTCAAGGAACCCTTCCGGGTGAAATATGCGTTACAGGTAGTCCCCGGGTTACGTACAAGATAGGGACTGTAGGTTTGTTCTTAACTTGAATTTGTATGTAAGTCGGAACTGGCGTCCAGATTCAGCCGCTGTTGAAACTGACCAGCGGCTGACTACAGGAAGCTCC